GGGAAGGATGAGGTGGGAGAAGGAAGGGGGATGGGGTGTGAGGGAGTTTGGGGAAGGAGTGAAGATGGGTTGGAGGAGTGGGGGATGCGGCTAACACGGCTACCCCCTGATACTTAAGGTTTGTAATTTACCCATCCACTCCCAGGCTTTATTCAGGCCTAATCTAATGGAATCTAGTTTGCAAATTAATTCCAGTTCTGCAGCTTCACATTGGAGGCTGTTTTTCAAGTTTTTTGTTGTTGAAGAATTGCCACGTTGAGGTCTGTTATTGGGTCACCTGGGAGATTGACGTGTTCTCTGACTGGTTTTTGAATGTTATGATTCCTGATGTCTGATTTGTGTCGATTTATTCTTTTGCGTCGAGACTGTCTGGTTTGGCCAATGTACATGGCAGAGGGGCATTGCTGGCACATGAGGGCATATATCAAGTGTATGTGTGTGTGTGTGTGTGTGTGTGTGTGTCCTTGTGCAATGCAGCCCCAGAGGGAGGGACGGGGTGTTTCCTCTGACAACTACCTCCGGCCTCTCTGGAGCTGAGCAAAACGCTGCTGACAAGCCCAGGTTGCACCAAGCGCCCGGAATTTCCAGGGAGTCCCACACTTTGATCCCCCTCAAAATGATCTTAAATTGGAAAGAGGCAGGGATTTCCCTACACCCCCTTGAATTGCCCCCCCCCCAGTTTTGTGAACTAGTTATGTGTAGTGTTGCCAATTTAATGCTTGAATTTTGAATTGAAATTGAAACATTAATACACATTTTAAAAGCATATAAAGTGTATGATAATATAGATGTATCTGAAAAGGTATAACAGATTTGAAAAGTATGAACATAGACTGGCTTCCTTATACAGCGGTTGTTTTTGATGACATTCATAGTGCATTCATTTCGGTGACGTTGGCCAACCTAAGAATTTCAAATGATGATTTGTAAGCAAAGTCTAAATGAGCTCTCCCTGACAGCTAGTGATGGGCTGGGGAAGGCTTCAGGACCAGATTGTATTTCCATTCACACCTAATCTACCCAGCAAACAGAGCGGTGTTGCCCAAGTGATAGATTTTGGCTGGGGTTGGGTTACAAATCACTTGAATATGGCGGCGGGGGAGAGGGGTAATGAAATGTTGTTATTCTTATTGTGTGAGTAAAGGGCAGTAGAACTGTCCTTAGCCTGTGCTGATTGAGGGATCAAGAGCGAGGGTGGGGACAGGTGTTTTGCTTAATGGTCTGCTTGAGTCAGAGGTACTATTTGACCTGCCCCTCTCCCCTGTTTAAAGACAGAGCTGATTAAGCTCCATAGAGAGTCTTTTGTTTTGTGAAGTGACCACTGCAGCTGAAATCACGGCTAATCAGGTCTAAGTGCTGAGACCTGCTGTGGGACAGTGGTTCTGTGGAAGAGACGGCCCAGTCTGCACTAACAGTGAGGTTCCCCCACTGTGAAACCAACCAAACCCTATTAAGCAACAGAGGGTCCTGTGGCACCTTTAAGACTAACAGATGTATGGGAGCATGAGCTTTCA